CCCCGTGCCACGCTGGTGACCCTCCAGAGCAGTATTTGTCAGTGCTGCCCACAGAAAAAGATGGGGCTCCACGGAGAAAATACGTAAAATGCAACAAAAAGCATCTACAAATGCACGAGAGCCCAAATCAGGGTCACTCACGCATCCTTACGGCTACCATTTCTCTCCACTTCTGCAGAGTTTACTCGGCAGCCCCAACAGTTAAAAAGTTTAGATGCAAGACTCGGGAGAAAGTCAAGCCAAGTCACAGCAGATCTTCCCACCACGGGCTGAGGGCTGCCTCCGCCGGAGAGAATGAAATGGGAGTGGGTGTATGGGCACTGCTTATTAAACAGGACCTTCAGATTAATCATTAACCTCAAGATAAACCGGACTTAAAGTCTAAAAGTAGCTTGTAGCTTAAAGCACGGACACAGGCTCTGAAGTGGACTTACCTTATCATTTCTTTCACATAGAAACTTTAACCTTTGAGCTCGCTTGTGCATAAATACTCCATCCAAATGTCCCGTCTCCACTGACCGGATTTCAATAGCTTTCTCTCCCCAGCCCATTATTTGATTGGAATGAATGTAGGCTGTCAAAAAGAAGCGTGTGGTAGGTGTTACAACGTGCGTCGAGCTAAGTATTACGCAACGGGCAGAAAAGCTCTCATCAGCTGTTATTCAAAGCCTACGTAGATCCACGGCAGAGCTCTGACTGCCGGAGGCCCAGGAGGCTGGGCACGTGCCCACAGGGGTGGTAGCCATTACAGAGCACTTTTCATCCAAAATTGCTGAGGAATTTAAACAGAAGTAGTATCACTTCTTCCGATTCCTGCGGGTGAGGAGCCGGGCAGTGGCTTGCCTCCACGGGTCGTGGAGCTGAGCAACAGCAGAGCCACAAGAGCCAACCCATGTGCTCCCAGCTCTACACCCAGCCCCTCTTCCACTCAACACAGAATCCCACCAATGCAACAGCTTCTATTATCTTATACTTAAAGATAAACTGGAGCTCAAATCTTCAAGCAGTCACTTGCTTTTATTATGGAGGACCAAACGGTAGAAAATTAGCAATTGCATCTCTTATCTGGCTGAGAGAAATCTCCTTTGATAAACAAAAGCCCAAATAACTCCATCTCAGCGTTCTTGACTCCTCATCTTACTTGTCACTTGTATTTTAAGCAGGTGAAGAGGAAGGGCTGACCTACCCACAGAAGTAGGCATTTCTCCCCACTGCAGCACCACGTCTTTAGTTATCCGGCCGTAGGTGTTCACATAGACGCCCTCATCCTCATAGCACACAAGCATCTCCATCCCGTCCGTTTTAGGCAGGATGACAATGGCGTGAGGAGTAATATTGCCCTGAATCTGCAGTTAAAATAAACCCTGAAAGTCAGAATTACATTGAACGGAGGAAGGGGTAGGGGGAAGGGAGCAGAGCCTTAGAAAGACAAAACCCCGAACCGACCTGAGAACAAACCCCTCCCTCCATTCACCCAACAGGCACTGGCTTTCAGAGATAAGCTGGAAGGGGAATAAACTGTCATGTTTACCCTACCATGAAAGCTGTCTGATACATCAAGGATAAACACCTTCATCACAACATACATGGCCCCAAGACTCACGGCTGACCCTTGGCTGTAACACAAGTAAGTGACTCCTATTCAAATTCAGGCAAATAACCCCAGAATTTTACAGGTAGCCCTAGGGAGGAAATATTCCCATTTTTTAGCAATTAGTCTCTAGCTCGAAGAGCAGCTATGGCGACTTTCCACCCATGTCTGCCCTTCCATAGCTCAGACAACACAAAACCATCCCGAACTGTCCCAGTATTTCTCCCTACGCTCCTTGCCAGCTCTCCCAGAGGAGTCTCTGCTGCTGGGATCAGAATCAGCAGCTCCTAGATTTGATTAGTGACACGGTTTCTCCTGGACAAGTTAGACGAAGCTTAAATGAGCCAACAAGAAAATCCTCATCGACAGCACTTTTTGTGGCACTGATTTTCCCTTGAAATAGCTGATGGACCTGAGAGAGGTCCTGTGGCGAGTCCCTGCCTGTCAGGGGGTCTGGGAGATTCAAGCAGCAGGCTTACTGAGATTTGGGCCACCCTGAACCTGCAACCTTCACCTGGGCAAACTGTGCTGCCTCGCCAAGAACAAGCGCTGGTGAGCACATCTGGGACACCACGCAGTGGGACAGTGCGCTGGGCATCCAGCTCTTGGTGGGTCTGTGTTGTCCAACCACCAAGAACCTGGTTTCACAGCATCTTGCCCTACAGATTGCTCTGTTACTGCTCCACGCAGCACACAGGCAGATTCTCCTTTCTGTGGGACACGGCAACCTTAAACCCGACTGCTGGGGCACGAGGACAGAAACAGCCCGTGCGAATAATGAACATGAAGTACGTGATACCTCCGAGTCCTCTTGAAGCAGGTACCAGTGAGGATGGCACCGGAGAATGTCATACCTGTGGCAAGATGTCACCATTTCTAAGCCACTGAGAACCTGTCCAAACCTTGCTGGTGACCTGAGTTAATCATGCAGCAGCGCCTCCCCCGTGTACTCACGTGAGATGGTATATAGATATCGTAGGAGTTCCCGGAATCTACATCAATCACGTGGAAACCAGTGTGTGATCCAAAGATAACCTTGAGTCTCTGACCCTCTTCTACAGTGAGATCCACGAGCAACGGCTTGTGCTGGAGATCTGCAAAAGACTTTTATAATCCCTTCCGTGAGTATCGCAGAAGACCAACAAATCTCCGTAGCAGCGGCCTGATACAGTTTTGAAATCGTATTTGTTTGACTGTGTTTCCTACTAAATACGTGGTTATTTACATTCCTGTCTCTCTGCTCCTACGTCAGATGCCTCAGAGAGTATTACCCACTCGCTCCAGCCATCCCAGCAGGTAAGTGCTCACCCTTGCCAAGCACAGCGCTCTCCTCCCAGGAGCCTGAGGATGTGGTCTCTCAAGGAAGGCGACAGCTCAATTTTACATGAGCGTGCCTACAGCCAGCACACGGGGAGCCCCGGTGCTGGTGCTGCTCTGGGTACAGGAGCAAAGTCTGCAGAGAGCTGTGACCACCCACCTCCCCTCTCGGCAGGGATCACCGCTCCTGCTTGGGCAGCTGAAATGAGTCAGATCACCAAAGACCTACTTTTGGCTGCTCAATCTAACCTGCTGGATGCAGCCTGGGACCAGCTCCCTGGCATGGACCGATCCAGGACAGAGTATCTCTCCATGGCTTAGGTCCTCAGCAGGAGGGTGAAACACCCCCAGGGAGAGAAAAGGGCTCCTGGCACTCTGTGGAAAGAGCACTCCGACTCCTGACAGGGAAAATCAGTGGGTGGTAATTCCCACTCTCTCAGCAGATCCCTGACTATAAGGCAAGGAAAGGATGCTCAGCCCCTCCAGACTGGAGAAGCAGCACCAGGAGCACTAACCAGCATCCTCACCAGAGCCCACGGAAGCGGGATCCCAAGGCATTTTAATGCTGCCGAGCCCTCCATGTCACTCAGCCCATTTATTCTGGCTTTTGTTCAGAAAAAGCAAATGTGACCTAATACTGAATAAGCCCATTTGTGCTGGAAGGATGCAAAATGAGATTATTCAGCATGAACGTCTCCAGAAGGCTTTGCCCCTTGTGACTTGTCTCTGCACAGAGCTTAGGATGAAAAGTGCTTTAAAGGACTAAGTACAAAATAACCGTTGGCAGGTTATAGAGGAGAGAGGTCTCACTGAAGGAAACTGAGGTAGATGAAAAGGGAGAGAACAAGGGAGAGAAAGAGCGGGTCATTCTCCCGGACTTTCTGTCTTGAAACAGAATCCACATTGCAGAATGGGAGAGGACCTTGCAAAATAAAAATGGAAAATAACGCCAGCCTCTTTTCACACTGAATGGTAAAAATCAGAGGCGAAAAAAAGAACCCACAAAAGAACTCCACCACCAAAAACCCCACCTCAGTTTTGCTCGTGGGCATTCGGTCAGCTTGCTGCAAACTTCCCAGGTGAAGCTGGCCAGCGAACGCTGACGTTAACACTTCACTGCTCGCCACGAGCAGAACGTATCCCACCTCTTCACCCAGAACGTACCCCGTCTCCATGCCTGCCAGACACCCCGAGGAGCTCAGCTACATAAGCAAGATGCTTTTCTGCTCTGGACAGTACAGAAGCCTCGTGTATTTACAATTACAGCGTGCATTTCGGTTAAAAGATAAACATACCTTAAATGCCATAAACTTGTGATATGGTTTAGGAGCCCAAGCGTAGATCTCTACAGCATTCTTTAAGGCAATCACCAAGAACTTGATTCTTTCATATTTCACTAAAATGAAAATAAATAAAACCGATTTCAAAACCAGTCACTTTCTTTCCAACAAGACTCAACAACTCATCTCCAGGAACAGCTTCTCAGGCTGTCTCTCTGTTGGTTCTCATCTGGCAACACCTCCACCTAATACATACAGGTGAATTCCACATTTATTTGCGGCTATGGTCTACTCACACTTTTAAGATCAATTGTCAGGTCAGAGGTAAGACTAGAGAACAAAAATGCATCTCTTCAGACATCTTTTCGTTTTCCCCAGAGAGGCCACTCACCGACTTTGTAGTGGATACATCCCTCCAGGTCCCCGACCGTGATCCAGCCCTGCTTCTTCTCCACTTCAGGGTCATTGTGTAAAATCCTGTTTCTCAGCCAGGAGAGATAGTACACGCGCAGCTTGTTCTTCTTTCCTGTTGGCAAATGAAACTCCCCTGTCAGAGCAGAGCGTGCGTGCACGGGAAATCCTGAGATTTCAGTGCTTATTTTCACTCACAAGATAATAAAATTAAAGTTCATTTCATGATGAAGTTGAAAATAGTAATTTAGTTGTTGTGTTGTTTTTTTTTTTTTCTTGGGGAAAAAAAAAAACATATGGAAAGCAGAGCCCAGACCTCTTTCTCCCAGACTGCAGGCAGATACTGGAAGAGCCAGGCTCGTGCTTCCCACAGGCTGGATATGTTCCTTTTCCCATAAATCAGTGTTCACGGAAAGACAGTCAGACACAGCTGGGCCGTGACCCCAGCTCTCTTAGAGCTCAGGGCTTACCCAACCACCCAGCTACCTGGGTTTCTTTCCTCTCTTCTCCTTCATAGAACATTAATTCCACCCTGGGGCTGACACATGAGCTCCTCGCCGCTATTTGCCAACAAGCCCAGTCCCGGGCTCTGCAAGGCTGAGGGGCTGCCAAATTTCTGCACGCCTGCCTGCTCTTGGATGGCTGCGATCTGGCTACCAACCTCCCTGCTGCTGCAAAGCCACTGCTACAGGGACGGGACACAGCTCGCACCGAGCCCGGTGGGAGAGGACCCAAGCCACAAACCAGGGGCTCCATCTGCTCATGGGTTTCCCCAAGTCCCCAGGGCTTGGCCTTGGTGCCTTCTTGGGGGGTGGTGCTCCCTGGGGAGCGCTACCCCCCCCACTCATATTCCAGCTCTATGAAACCCCGTGTTTCCTACAGCTGTATCCCCAAAACCACAGGGGAGCTGCAGGTAAATGATGAAGCAGCGGTTTTGAAGAGCTCTATCTGATCAGTAGATAAGGAATTGGCTGGATGGTCACACACAAGGAGTTGTGGTCAACAGCTCGATGTCCGAGTG